TCAGCCACCCTCCTGCTCTGATAAGTAAAGAACAGTCCCTAACTTAATGTAAAACACCACACAATAACAAAACACAATAAAATTTCATCAGCATTTTCATCCAAGGATTGTTTTTAACAGGTTACTCCTAAAAGGGTATAATAATAAATTCTGATGATTTGGAATATGCTCAGATAATGCACAAAATTGTACTGCTGCACAGGAAGAGTATTTTTTCCCATGATCTTCAAGTATATCGATTTTGTAAGATTAGGCCCAACACTGAAAAAAAAACAAAAAAATTAGTCACTGATTACTTCATTCATAATTAACAAAATGATTTAGAAAACATGTAAAGAGAGAATTGTTTCTTATGACATCACAAAATATTCCAGATAACTTTAATACTGTAAACCAATAATGATAATGCCTTGTAATATGATGTACATTTGTAGTGCATGTCCAGTATAATGCATGGTATGGGAAGATGCTTTATGTGAAGTACATAGATGAGTATTGAGAATACATTTTCAATTAATTTTTGTATACACAGGTATATAATCAGTAGTGCTGGACATATTTAATGCCTTTACTTTAATGCTTTTACTTTAAAAGAATATTTTACAATTAAAGAAGTGACTTCATGACGAGTTAAAGTCCTGTATTCAAAATCTTACTTCATTGGGTATTATCCACAACAGTATTCATTATTCAGGTATTACATATTATGGTAATTATTAATTACTGATGCTTTATGTTTTAATATTGCATCTGATCAAGGAGCAGCTCACTGTAACCATTTTAGATCCTGTTGGATGGTTCAATCTAAAACCATGCACCGAAACTGATGATACAGTCTATATGTAAAATTTTAACTTGTAAAAAGATGACTATTCCAATAATTTAGTGGAGTAAAAAGGGCAATATGTCCTTCTGAATTGTCGTTCAATACAAGTGTAAACTACCATAAAATGTAAATATTCAATCAAAATTAATGTGTGTGTACACCCACAAGGAATTTGACTCCAGTTTTTGTTGCTCTCAAAATATATACACAGAAACATACAGTTAAAACTAGGACAATAACAGGCAACAGTGAGCAGGTTTCAGGCTTGACAAAAATGAACAAATTCACTATAACTGGATTAGTTTTGTAAAAAGGAGTGAGACCAATCACTCACTCACTTGTTTCATCATTATAATGATGATGTGAATGATTTATTAGGGACTGTTCATTACTTCCAAGAGGGGAGGGGTGGTGCAAAACAAGGGAGGCACTTCAAATATTTTTTTCAAGCATTAGGGAAGGAGTTCTTTTTTTGATTTGGCTTAGGGGAGGGACACCCTACATTAAATGGCTGCATTTTGTGTTTATTTTGAATACCCTCGGATCCCTAAAACCTGCAAGTGGGTTTTAAGGCAAGTTATCATAAACTGTGAAATATGGTTATTTATGGTGTTATATATATATATACAGTACAGGCCAAAAGTTTGGACACACCTTCTCATTCAATGCGTTTTCTTTATTTTCATGACTATTTACATTGTAGATTCTCACTGAAGGCATCAAAACTATGAATGAACACATGTGGAGTTATGTACTTAACAAAAAAAGGTGAAATAACTGAAAACATGTTTTATATTCTAGTTTCTTCAAAATAGCCACCCTTTGCTCTGATTACTGCTTTGCACACTCTTGGCATTCTCTCCATGAGCTTCAAGAGGTAGTCACCTGAAATGGCTTTCCAACAGTCTTGAAGGAGTTCCCAGAGGTGTTTAGCACTTGTTGGCCCCTTTGCCTTCACTCTGCGGTCCAGCTCATCCCAAACCATCTCGATTGGGTTCAGGTCCGGTGACTGTGGAGGCCAGGTCATCTGCCGCAGCACTCCATCACTCTCCTTCTTGGTCAAATAGCCCTTACACAGCCTGGAGGTGTGTTTGGGGTCATTGTCCTGTTGAAAAATAAATGATCGTCCAACTAAACGCAAACCGGATGGGATGGCATGTCGCTGCAGGATGCTGTGGTAGCCATGCTGGTTCAGTGTGCCTTCAATTTTGAATAAATCCCCAACAGTGTCACCAGCAAAACACCCCCACACCATCACACCTCCTCCTCCATGCTTCACAGTGGGAACCAGGCATGTGGAATCCATCCGTTCACCTTTTCTGCGTCTCACAAAGACACGGCGGTTGGAACCAAAGATCTCAAATTTGGACTCATCAGACCAAAGCACAGATTTCCACTGGTCTAATGTCCATTCCTTGTGTTTCTTGGCCCAAACAAATCTCTTCTGCTTGTTGCCTCTCCTTAGCAGTGGTTTCCTAGCAGCTATTTGACCATGAAGGCCTGATTGGCGCAGTCTCCTCTTAACAGTTGTTCTAGAGATGGGTCTGCTGCTAGAACTCTGTGTGGCATTCATCTGGTCTCTGATCTGAGCTGCTGTTAACTTGCCATTTCTGAGGCTGGTGACTCGGATGAACTTATCCTCAGAAGCAGAGGTGACTCTTGGTCTTCCTTTCCTGGGTCGGTCCTCATGTGTGCCAGTTTGGTTGTAGCGCTTGATGGTTTTTGCGACTCCACTTGGGGACACGTTTAAAGTTTTTGCAATTTTCCGGACTGACTGACCTTCATTTCTTAAAGTAATGATGGCCACTGGTTTTTCTTTAGTTAGCTGATTGGTTCTTGCCATAATATGAATTTTAACAGTTGTCCAATAGGGCTGTCGGCTGTGTATTAACCTGACTTCTGCACAACACAACTGATGGTCCCAACCCCATTGATAAAGCAAGAAATTCCACTAATTAACCCTGATAAGGCACACCTGTGAAGTGGAAACCATTTCAGGTGACTACCTCTTGAAGCTCATGGAGAGAATGCCAAGAGTGTGCAAAGCAGTAATCAGAGCAAAGGGTGGCTATTTTGAAGAAACTAGAATATAAAACATGTTTTCAGTTATTTCACCTTTTTTTGTTAAGTACATAACTCCACATGTGTTCATTCATAGTTTTGATGCCTTCAGTGAGAATCTACAATGTAAATAGTCATGAAAATAAAGAAAACGCATTGAATGAGAAGGTGTGTCCAAACTTTTGGCCTGTACTGTATATATATAGATATAGGTACTCCGGCTTCCTCCCACAATCCAAAGACATGCAGGGTAACTGGTGACTGTAAATTGTCCGTAGGTGTGAATGTGAGTGTGAATGTAAGCTTCTGTCTCTATGTGTCAGCCCTGTGATAGTCTGGCGACCTGTCCAAGGTGTACCCCACCTCTTACCCAGTGTCAGCTGAGAAAGGCTCCATCCCCCCCGCGACCCCCAAGAGGATAAGTTGTTATGGCAAATGAATGAATGAATACATAAACAATCCCATACTACCACTAGGCAGTGGCATGAGGTAGTTACGGTGGGCCCCAGTTCACACTATCATTCATCACATGATCAGAGACTTGACACTGGATAACATCAGCATACATATTACCCAGCAATCATCACTGCATATCTGTATATAACAAAAAATACCAAGGAATATAAGAAATTATTGATTGATATAACAATTGTAACTGTTGCTTTTTAGTTATAGAGTAAGCATATCATTTTGTTGTAGGTGCTGTTAACTGTTTTACAAAAAAAGAAAAAATAAACATGACAGATATGGGTTTACCACTTCCAAGGGCATTTATAGCAAATGGCACTGTTTTTGATTTAATGAGAGTTCCTCTTTGAACACAGGCATATTTTCAAGGTGACACACATTCAAAAGGGCCCATTCTCCACCCAACACATTGTTGGGGGGCCCAATCTCTCTATGTAAGGGTGGAGGGGGGCTGTCACTAGGCTACTTGTACTACTACTAGTAGTGGTAATTGAAGACCTACAAATAGTACTTGTTATTTTAGTTGTGTAAGTAGTCAGTATTGGTGGCATTTTGAAAGTAGGTGGAAAGCATTTGGAGGCACGCGCAGGGCAGATAGGTGGAGCTCGTGCGCAGCTGGTGTCACTCATCAAACTAGAGAGGGAGAGAGGGAGGGATAGAGAGGCCGTCGGGTACAGAGCAGAGGGTACCACAGGACACTGCCGCTGCTGCTGCTGGACCTCAACAATCAGCAACAAGAGACGCGCAAACTGCCTCGGATATCTCCTCTCCCTACCTCACCGCCGCCAGCTTTAGCCTATCTCCGGATATTCTGCTACTTGGACATTAAAGCGGCAAGTTGAGAGTCAAATATGACAGCTCGTATTTAGCATTAATGTGTCAGCGGCTGTGTTTGTGAGCCGTGAGTCTGTGAACCGGAGCGAGCGGAGCAACGCGATTCCACCGACTGGACCTTTTTACTTTTCGGCGAAGAAGGCTATTCATTTACGGCGTGCATGGATTTAAGGACGAGCGGTACTGGTTATGACATTAAGGAGCACTCTGTCCACTAAACAGACTGTTCGCTTGGCTGGGTACAAGGAGTAGCAAGCGATATGACAATTACATAGCCTAATGTCATTTTGGCTACTATGAAAACACAGCGAAAAAACTGCTAACGATAGCGGCGACCGAGCTGTATAAAGATAAAACAGGCGGTAGACATTAAGGTCATTTACACCACGTGTGTTAGTACAGGACTGTAATGTTATAATGTGTCTTTTATTCTTTTTAATCTTTGGTGCTACAGAGTAACGAGGTCTGCAACTCCATTAGCACAGTTAAGTTGGTGTCACTTGTAGAATTTGGACTAGGCTAAGACTACAAAGAAGACAACGACGTTGAATTTGTCGTCTAAATTCGTCATAAACGACACAACGGACGGCGAAGTTTGACAGCGAAACTCCCTCAAGGGCTGAGAGGTCACCGGGACCGGTCATCTCCTTTCCCTCCTCCCCCTCCTCCTCCTCCTCCCATCAGTCTGTTATGAAGATGTGAACTCTTCCCTCCCTCCTTTCCTCTTTCTCTCTTCGCCGTCCAGGACACTTTGATCTTTTTTTCCTCTGTTTGGTACAAAGAGATCAAAGGCGACTCCCTCCTCTCGGGGATGTACGAAAGCGTGGATGTTGTGGGTTTTAGCCCCAGCCCCAGCAGCCCCAGTCCCGGCTCCTTTCTGAGCATGGACTACTACCACAGACCCCCGGGGCTCGGGCCGGAGAAGGGACTCCTGTCCAGTGTAGGAGGACTCCAGCGTCCGTTCGGAGGATCCCTGGTGACCGTGAGACACTGGAGCGGCTCCAGCCACTGTGAGTCCCACTGAAAAAATATTTGCCATTTTGGACAGAATAGCAAATAACTGCAGGGCACACCACAGTTAGTCAGTGTGGATACTTTAATTTGTTGAAAAATGACAACGGGGTGCTGGCGGGTAAAGCCCCTGCTTGTGCTTTGATATCTGTTGTCAGCTCGGGGGGATGAATGCACGAGTTCACCGGTTCCAATTGGGACACATGCCAGCCCCTTCTTCTAGTATCAGGTGCCCCACAGCCTCTTTTTTTAGTCCCCTCTTAACTAGATGGGAAGTGAACACACCACTGTTCTACACAACATGTAGTGCCATTCACTCTTACTTTAGCCTTCTCAGCATGTATCCTTTCCTACACTCTTTCACCATTAGTTCCTTACAGCAAGCCTTGTGAGCTTCAGCATTAGCTACTGTTGATGATTACACCATTTAAATCAAGTGGGTATTGTTAAATGAAAAATTGTTTATCTATTCATGAGCATTTTGATTGCCAGACACCCAATAATGCTGCATTCAGTCTAAGATGACCCATTTTACGAGCAATTAAAATGGGTCCTCAATGTCCCAGCATGTCTACACTGTGTATTGTGCAACTTATGGGTTTGGTTTATGTTTTCAGTGGAGTGACTCAGACGACCTCAGTAGGTCAGCAGCTGCCTACACACATTTACCAAATCTAGTCTATATGACCTCGAGCTCAGTGCTTCTCAATGGGTCAGAATTAACTCTGAATGTTTACAGTTTGTCAACATAACCCCCCCATGCTTTTCATTCAATTAATCCATAAATGTCATTTTTCAAGTAATATTTCCAAACATTACCTTGTTTCAGTTCACAGCTTATAGGATTCCTTTGTAGCTACTCTGTGATAGTAAATTGATTGGTTAAAAGACATAATCTTGGGCTTTACCAAGTTTTGCATTTTCTGACATCTTAGACCAAACAGTTAAGCAATTTATTGAGAAAAAATGATCAGCTTAATCAGCAATTAATATGCTATGTAGTCGCAACCCGAGAAGGGTTTTAAGCCTGTCAAACATTCTGTAAGTTGCTTACCATTTTATATGGCATTCATTTTTTATTGCACACAGTATCACAAATGTTCTGTATACCAATTGAATAAACCAGGAATAAATGGGCATACTTTACCATAAGAATGCTACTTCTACTTAAAATAATATTGATAATAATAATTGTTTCATTTATTACAGTGGTGTCGTATATGCGGATAAATGGGGTCTACTATAAGGATATAAACTCAGTTTACCCACCCATCAACCAAAAAGAATTTGGAATATATAAGAATGTGTACCCACTTCTCCCTCTGTAACATACCCAGTGGTGTAGTGGTAGTCGATGCGGTGGGTGTACCTAGGTAGATGGTTATATTAGCGAGGACGATGTGGGTATACTCTATTTTTTTATTTCTAATGGCTTTTTTGGCAATAGTTTGGTTGAGTGTAAACAGCTAGAAAAAGATATGGGTATACCCTATTTACCTGCATATACCCTCCCTATACGACTGAACCCACCTCATCAAGTACCACTGCACCACGGGTTTATTATAATTAAAACCCTTTTGCGTATTTTTTTGGAGATTATTACACTTGCGAAATTATTGTGATATAAGTTATTGTGTAGTTAGTTTATATATCAGTGTCCATGGGTTTGAAAGTCAGAAATATTCAAATGTATACATTAGATTTAATTCTACAAAATAAATATACTAATATTGATACCAACACTAATTACTCTTGTAATTAATACTAATATAAATAATACTAGTAAGTGCAATAATTTATTTTTTGGCAGCCATTTACAGTTGGTGATCATTTCCTAGATTTTACACTGTAGAATCTTTTTGCTTCGTACACCATGTTGGGTATCCTCAAAAGCTGGAAAATACAAATACTCCTAGTTTGGTTAAGACACTAAGACCATATGTTTAACTGTATGTGGCATGCTCTAATCAGTTGGATGTCGCAACGTAGATTCTGTCAACATCCTGATATTTGGTCATTTTAGGTTTTGTTTGATATTAAATAAAGTCTTGGCTTTTAGAATATGAAACTCTTATTGCCAAATTCTGACGATAAATACAATTTTGAAGCTTTTAAAGGCACAATGTCAAGCTGCGAACACTTGTCAAATTCTCCCTTCTTCTATGTCTACCTGAAATTATGAATAAAAGGTCTAACTTTCTCTGAATGGGTTATGGTCAGACTTCACGTAAACAAAATCTTGGTTTTCAGAATTATTTAAACCTCTTAAAATCCATCGGGTTACTGTCAGCCCACTTGAGATAGTTCTGACATCATGCATCAAAATATTGCAGTTTAAACTTTTATCATATGGACATGCTAAACGTGGTTAGCTCAGTTAGATTCTCCACAATTTAATTGTACCGTTTATTTTACGGAAACCATGAGTACCAAAATATAATTCATTCAGATTTTACCAGCAAGGCAAGCAGGAGGGACAGAAAATAAGTGGTGTCTCCCTACCTCTGAAGCTGACTGAAAGTCAGAATATGTGTCCAATTCTTGATTATATTCCTTTAGTCTGTAATGGTCCACCAATCCAATAAATCAGAAGGGTTTTTCTTAAAAATTAATCCAATTTGTGAATATTGTCATGTTAAGTCCATTGCTAATTGTATGTTAACTTTGTTTATCAAGGGGACTGCAGTTGTACTGACATAAGCAATATTTTCTTGTCTTCCTGCACCATGTTTTTGGCTATGCTTGTTGTCATTACCTCGCTGATGACAAAATTAAAGCCTTCAAAGAGACTATTGTAGCCAATTGGTTTCCCTTTGCTTGTTTTGAATGCTGTATGGTATGGGTAGTTTGGCTGCAACGTAGCCGGGCTCAATCAATGTGTCACAGTGGAAAGTCCCTGCTTGTAGGAGGGACTTCGATTTATGGCAAACTTTGAAAGGCTTTTCTCAAAATTGTCGCTCGGCATCGGTCATTATGTAATGTGACACATTTTGCTTAATATTTGGAGTAAAAAACAATGTTTATCATTAGAAAGCTAACAATCTCTTCTTAGCAGTGTATAAAAAGTCAAACATTTTGTTTTGAGTAACACAAATGTTTTTCTAAAAAAAAGTCCTTTTTCAGCTTGATGAAAGAGGCCAGACAGAAATCTAAAGTGTTGCCTAATCACAAGCTGTAGAAGAACTTTCCCTAAATGAAATACCAGACTAGAAGTTTTTTTTTTTATTTTCCATTCAGCCACTTGTACCCGCTTAACATATGCTGGATCATGGGGGGTGCCAATGCCAATCCCAGCACGCACTGGCTAAGAGGCATGCTACACCTGGATGCCCGTCTATCAAAAGAATAACAAACACAAATTCAAAAACACAGGACCTTCTTGCTGTGACTTGACAGTGCCGCCCAACCCCAGTGTCACATGCTAGAAACAGTCAGCCTCAGAGTCAGACATTAACCCAAGGGTGATGACATGGTGATGTCACTGCGACATGGGCCTTGCACAACTGGGTTAAGTCATCAAGACAGAGAGTGCAAAGTGGACTCCAGTTGGCCGGTGAGAAACACAAGGAACGAGAGACATATAGAAGCAAGAGGGGAGTGCTCATAAATTTGAGCTGTGAAGGCAGGAAGGATTAGTGTGTGTGTGTGTGTGTGTGTGTGTGTGTGTGTCTGGGGGTGANGGGGGGGGGGGGGGGGGGGGGGGGGGGTCTTTGTGCGTGACTGGAATGAAGAGCGTCTAACAGGTTCAAAGGTCAAAGGCCGTACACAGATGCCGGCACGCACACACATTTAGTGACTGCTCCAGCGACATGTAAGCAATGGCCTGAGGATAGTGGTTCACTCTGTGTGCGTGTGTGTGTGTGTGTGTTGGGTGTGATCCAGTGCAATGACTCACTGACAATTGGGAAGTGACCTACATCTCTCCCTCTCTTTATTTCTCCTTCTATCTGCCTCTTTCTTTCCTGTGTCAGCTGCCCAGTCATCACTTCTCTGCACTGAATGACCTCTCTTTCTGTCTGTTGGACACACACACACACACACATTCATTCACCCTCACAGTTTGTCTGGGAATGTGAGTGTATACTGACCAAGTTTGACCTGAGTGTGAGTGTGTGAAAAAGGGAGGAGGTGGACGGTTGTTTGTCAGTGTTTTCATCTACTAGATGGCTTTATCTCTCTATGTGTGTGTGGGACTGCACTTCCATCAGATGAATGCTGAAAGAGTGGCAGTGGAAAGCTGGTTATTAATTCATTTGTTCTAGTCAGAGTCCTCTGGCATGGCATGTCTTTGTCTGTATATCACTGTGTAGGAATTTCTCCTCTCATGTCACATCTTTTGAATTTATTAGAGACAGGATAAAGAGGGAAAAGAACAATATTAACCTTGGCTGCTATTGTTATACCAATTTCTAATCTGGAGCGTGCACACAGTGTTTGCATTAGGCTGATTAAAACTTCAATACAGTGTCAATACAAACAGCTCTGCATTGCTTAAGTCTGTCGTTTATATTTTCATATCTTCTGCATTTTCCCAGTGTGACTTGCAAGACCATCATGGTGACACAAGTTGTATAGCTTTCTCTAATATACCAGACACATTCAGGATGTCACGAACAAGTTTTTTTGGCCATCACACTGATGAAATTTATGCAGTTAATGTTTACTAAAACAACACAGCTGCTCAGAGTAGGCTTGTGCCGATTTCCGGTTTAACCGGTTCGGTCCGGTTTAAGAGCTCCACCTGGTTTAATTCATGTCAACCGTATAAACCGGAGGAGGAAAAAAATAAAAAAAATTAAAAAACAGCTTTTCACATCGGGGGCGTGTCAACGGGACTATATTCAACTTATCTTGCATTGTAACATGCATTATGACAACTTAATAAGGTTTATGTTTGTTTATAAATGAAGTGGAGGAGCCTACAAGTGTTTTGTTTAGTTTGTCTTAGACTCACAAGTCAGTCTTTAGACGTTTTGCTTAACCAAAGACTGATGACTTT